ACGCAATACAAAAGTATACAAAATTTGAAAACTTTGCCAAGGCTATATTTTCTACATTTTACAACATTTCGCAACCAAACTTTGCAATTTTACTAATTTTAGTATGCTCTTTCTAGCTGTGGTGATTTATTTGAATCTTCTTGCCTAGTTTTAAAATTAGTCGATAATGGGAATTGTGTATTGATAGAGGTACCCTACCAACACTGTCCTAATCACGCAATCCTAAATAATATAATTTTCAGATGCGCTGGTGATCGAGATCCATCGTGAAGCAAGTCATGATAGCAGTGTAGATCAAGGTGGTGGTGAGGAGGAAAGTTATGATCATAGTAGGATAGATGTGGACAATGAGGATGATGATGAGGATGACGAGGATGATGACGAAGAAGATGATGAAGACCCGGATGAAGATGACGACGACGATCATAGATCTGATGGTAAAGCTTGGTTCTGCTCTCAATTTCGCAAAACACCTATTTGTATCCGGTTTTTTATATATATAGCTTCTTTGGGTACTTATAATGTAGAATAATGAAAAAAATTCTTGAACTCAATTTTTGTGAACCAGGGGTGTGTGTCTTTTCCAACAAACTAAAAATGGCTCGCGCACAAAATTTAAAAGTTGTAATCATATTTTGAGTTAATAGATGGAAACTTTGTTGGGTTTTTAATTACTGTACAAAATTTCAGAAAATTAGGTTTAGTCTAAGCCCTTTAACTATTCACGCAAAGTTACATTTTTCCTAAAAATCAGCTATTTGCATGCTTAATTAATGCCTTTGCCTAATTTGCATATGTTTAGCAATATGCAAATTAGGTAAATGCATTAATTAAGCATGCGAAAGGCTGATTTTTTAGAATAAAATGAATAGTTAAAGGGGCTTAAACTCAACCAAATTGTCTGAAATTTTGTACAGTAATTAAAAACGCGACAAAGTTTCCATCTATTAACTCAAAATATGATTACAACTTTTAAATTTTGCGCGCGAGCCATTTTTAGTTTGTTGGAAAAGACACACCCCCCTGGTTCACAAAATTCGAGTTTCAGAATTTTTTTTCATTATTCTACATTATAAGTACCCAAAGAAGCTATATATATAAAAAACGGATACAAATAGGTGTTTTGCGAAATTGAGAGCAATTTCAAATCTGTTCAGTTTTTTTTTTTTATACACCCTGTATACATAAACTTGTGGTTAGAGCTCGACAACTGACCTCTGTAGCTCAATTGGTTAGAGCACTGCACCGGAATCGCAGGTTCAATTCCTGCCAGGGAACTAAAGTTCCATTTTTCGCTTCTGTTCCTGGTTAGGTTTAATAATTGGGAAAATTTGACAATTTCCATCTACAGTACCCATCAATTATTATTCATTCGAGTGAGATGCCACAAAAATCTTAATGTTCTGGCAAACCCTGTCACTCCTCGCAATATGTCGTGACAGAATAAGAATCCGTATTTATTGAGCACCTTGATTTACAAATAATATATTTGAATATAGGGAAGATATTTCAGAATACAAGGGAAGATAAGTTCTTTGAATGCGTTTGTATTTATGATAAAATATAATTGTTTTGTTTGTGGAAACATTACGTAAATAAATAATAAATAAATAAAAGTAGTAATAAATTTTACGTGGTGTTTCCCACAAAACAAAAACAATTACAAGGGAAGATATTTCAGAATAAGTTGCAAGCTAACTGTAATAACCATAGGGTGACCGCTTAGTGACCGCTTCGGATCAATCGAATTTGAAAATAAATTTCAATTCGAAAATAAATGTCATTTCGAAAATAAATGTCATTTCGAAAATAAATGTCAATTTCAAAATAAATATCAATTTCAAAATAAATGTCAATGTTTTCTGTGGTGTGACACTGGACCAATAATGACCGCCATACTAAAACAACATGACCTCCTGTAAAAATGTTCTTGTCATTTCAGGTGAAGACGAAGAGATTGAAGCAGAAGAAGATGAGGAAACGCAAAATGAAGAAGGACGCGATGAAGGAGTGGTTGTTGAGAGTTATAATGGAGTAATCATGTTAGAAGATGAAGGAGAAGAGAGCGAAGATCATGATGATGATGACGACGAAGATGATGAAGGCAAGTCCTTTCAGTTCTGGGTCTTCCTCCGCCCGTTCTTCCATTTCCCTGGAGATCGTGGATCTGAAAGCCCTGGGCAAACTAGGAAACATTGTTGCGGAAACATTTGTGATTCGTGATGTTTCCTCAAATGTTTCCCTGTTTGCCCACCCGTGGGAACATTGTTGCTGAAACAAAATTTGCTTCCCGGGAAGCAAAAATGTTTCCTAGCGAATTCAGAAACATTTGATGTTTCCCTATGTTCCTCACTAATGTTTCCTAGTGTTTGCCCACTCTGGGAAACATGGTGAAACATTGGTTTGCCCAGGGCTTAAGGAACATTTGTCTTAGCAAGAAGATTCAATTTTTCACACATGCGCAGAGTCTTAAGGAGTCATATTATATACTTCCTATCTGTCATTTGAGACATGTAACATAAATACAGTCAGTCACTCTGTTGTTGCATGCATAATCAGTGGGTGCACAGGGGTGCGCACTCCTGTTGGCCTTGGACAAGGGGGTGCAGAAAAATCAAATTCATTCAAGGCAGCACCAGTTTAAAATAGAAATGGCCAATATTACTATAATTGCTTATTGCTGTAAACTGAAGCTAATTATTCAATGCCCAAATCGTAGGAAATGGCATTTCATGGGGTTCTAATTTTCAACATTTTCCGGGGGTGAGGGTGGGGGGGGGGGGGTGGCACACAGTACCTCTAGACCCCCTAAGGAGCTCGCGCCATCGGCGCTCGAGTCGTTAGGAAGCCAATTCATTTGAATGCTCTCCCACCACCCCCTAAAGAATTATAAAGAAACACTCGGCTGCTCACCCAGCATCCTCCTAAAAAAACCTTGCTGGATCCACCCCTGTGCATATGTTGAAGAACATTTGAAAAAGGTAAATTCAGGATGAGTAAATAAATATTTATTCTTAGATGATGATGACGAGGAAGGTAGCGAGATAGAAGGACATGATAGACCTGATTTTGGAGAACATGGTGGCCATGGCAACGCAGGCGCTGGTGGAATGGAGAATGATTATCTTTTCTTGCACTTGGATGAGCCAAGACAAGGTACCTTATTTATAAGGCAAAAACAATATGTGGGGTTACGGTTTTCTGACCCTACCTAGCTTTTGGACGCCGAAATCCCGACCCTAAACTTTTTTATTGGATCCTGCTTGTAAGTGTTTCCACTTAGAGAAAAACATTTGTTTGAGGCAATATTAAGGAAATTTATATTTAGATGTGGAAGCACTAACTAAACAAACGTGGCGTCCGGTTGTCATTTGTGCAAAAGTTTAAAAAAAAGTTAAAACCGACCTACCCTACCTAAAGTCGTGTTTACACTACAAACCTTGGCCTGGCCTTGGCCAGGCCAAGGTAAATGTGGCGCGTTTACATCATTACACTATATTTTTGAGACTGGCTCACTTTGGCTTAGAATTTTGTAATTAATTTTGTGTATTTTTATGTGTTGTGACGTTGTCCGCTAATCTCTCACTGTGGACACACGTTGCCATGAGGGCCGACAGTGTTTACATTTCCACAAGCCTAGGCCTAGGCCTAGGCCACCGGTTGTAGTGGGCCCATATTTCCTGGCCTAGGTCAGGCCAAGGCTAGGCCAAAGTCTGTTTACACTGTCAAAATGTAGGCCAAGGCCGGTAGTGTAAACAGGACTTAAGTTTTACAAGAAGAAATAGGAAACCCACATTTTTTGCCTAATGTCTGGCCTTTAAAATATCCTTTGACTTTATTTGGCATCAATATGTTGTACTTCCCCTTTTATAGTGTATATTGTGAAACTCGCTTGTCAACCTACTCAACTGTCTTATACCTCGTAACTTTCAGGTTCTATCAGTCGTTTGATCCGAGAACATGCTCATCCTGGTGCAATCCTAGCTTCATCAGCATTCCGTGGTGGCCTGTTCGCAGGCCTACGTGCTAACTCTACGGCGACTACCAGCCCTTCAGTTGATGTCACTGTAGAACATCCACTGCTCAGACGACAGCAGTCCAGTGAACGTCCTAGCCAGATCAGTAACAGCCGTATCTCTCGTGTACATTTACTGCGTAGCGATCGTAGTAGATCTGGTCACATGACTCATGTTCATGTCCATTATTCACATCCTCATGGTATGTTAAACTAAATAGACTGTACCATTTATTGTACTCTTGCCTCGATAAAACCTCTTCTTCATGTAGCTATTTCTTCCTGTTACGTGCACAATAAGTTCAAGGCTTGTGATTGGGCTCAAGATCGAAGAGAAGTATATCAGGGTGTCCACGGGCCTTGAAAATCCTGGAAATCCTTGAATTGGAAAAAAAAATATTCCAGGACTGGAATGTCCTTGAAAATTTTAAAATTACTTCATAAAGTGAATTATTTGCTGGGCAAATCCGTGCCATTTCCGTAGATTTTTCCCAGTTCTAGGTCCTTGAATTTGCTGAAAAAGGGCCTTGAAAGTCGTGAAAAGGTCCTTGAATTTCACCTTCACCAAAGGGTGAACACCCTGATATTTGTGGACAAAACGTGGGGATACAATCCTCATGTGCGCCTACCATGCTAAAACAGGCAAGCATGAAAACGAGGCCATTGGAGCAAAGTGCAACTAACAGTAAAATCTATTGACTCAGGCAAAGTGTTGGCCTGAAATCCCAGAAATGAAAGGCACATGTACCAATCACTATACCATTCCAAACCCATTTCTTAACACGTTATTTAGATATACCACGCCTGGGTCGTCATTTGATGGACGATGACATCAGATTGATAACACGTGCAGGTCAAAGGAGACTAGCGGATGACGATTTCGCTGATATCTTTGACTTTGGCGAAGGTAGGTCCAATATCTTTCATGACTGGAAAATTTATATGAAAACGTTAGGAACCATATATGCTTTTGGAAATTTGCCTCGGAATTTGGAAATTTGCCTCGTCCTCGAAATTTGCCTCGGCACTCGCGAATTGCCGAGGGAAATGCCAAGGCAAATTAAAGCCCTGGACAAACTAGGAAACATTTTTGCGGAAACATTTGTGATTCTCGATGTTTCCTCAAATGTTTCCCTGTTTGCCCACCCGTGGAAACACGGTTGCGGAAACAAAATTTGCTTCCCGGGAAGCAAAAAATGTTTCCTAGCGAATTCAGAAACATTTGATGTTTCCCACTAATATTTCCTAGTGTTTGCCCACTCTTGGAAACATGGCGAAACATTGGCAGGAAACAATGTTTCCGCAACAATGTTTCCTAGTTTGCCCAGGGCTTAAGAATTTCACCGTTTACCTCGGAAAACAAAGTGTCGAGGTAATTTTACTATTCGTTATAGACATCATTAGTCTTGTGAGTAGTTTATATCACCAAAGCCTTCTGAAAACTATGGAAATTGTACTTGACGAAGGTCCGACATTTTAAACTATAGCGTGTGAAATAGGCATTTACGGTTGTAAACAAAACGTCAACGTATCGATTATTGACTTTGAATCACCTTAGTTTCAGCACTTTTGGGCTTGTAAACTTTTTATCTTTCCTTATAACGCCTCACCCATAATTTCTCCAATTTTCTCTCCCCCCCGTAGGACCATCAAACTCGAACATCCTCTCTGACATATCATCACCACTAAACCTGTGGACCCAGGAAAGTCAGATCTTGGACGGGGGGAGCGTGCACCACTGTGCAGCGGCAGTAAAGAAGGAAGTGCTGCCTGTGTTTGAGAAAGATCTCGAAGAACAAGTGGAATCATTGAGAGAAACTGAAAGAAAGAAGAGGAAGGAAGAGGAAGCGAAAAAAGCGGCAGAAGCAGTTAAGAAAGCGGCAGAAGCAGCTGAAAAAGAAAAGGGTAAGAAGATTGCTTTATTAACAGAAAATAATTTTCTTCCTAAATGGGGTTTTTAAGTCGATGATCTAGTGATCAGAATCCCATTGTCTTTTCATTGTTTTGAAAACCCTAGTGTTCCCAATGCTATCCAGTCACGATCCAGTGATCAGAATGTTCCCTTGTCTGTTCATTGTTTTGAAAATCCCATTGTTCTCCATGCCATCCAGTCACGATCCAGTGATCGCAATGTATATTCCGTTGTCTTTTCATTATTTTGAAATTCCCACTGTTCTCCATGCCGTTCAGTCACAATCCAGTGATTGGGCTAACCGATATGCCGCCAACACCTGTGTGGTTACTGGAATATCATGTAAGATGGTTGGTATGCATATTCTTTTTGTCGTATTTTAGAAGATAGCAAAGCTAATGAGTCAAGCAGTGAACCTACGACCACAACAAGTGGTGAACCGATGCAAGTGGAGTCTGCCGTGTCTCAACCTAGCCTACCAGAAAATGTTTCAGGACGAGAGGAAGAAGGACATGTTTATACTGAAGCTGGTACGATTGTGATTACAAGATTATTAATTGATTGTACACGAATTGACATGATAGGCAGTTTATTGTAGACACAACTTCAAAGATGACGATGGTTGGTGGCCCTTACTGGACCTCTAGGGAGGACAGTTTAGAACCGTTAGAGCTATCCAGAATAAATAAAGTTCGTTTAGTTCAGGTTTTCTCCTGTAGTAACACTTTACTGATGAGGATTGCTCTTACTGGACCTCTTGGAAGAACAGTTTAGAACTGATAGAGCTATCCAGTAGATTATTAAAGTTAGTTTAGTTTAGGTTTCCTCCTGTAGTAACACTGGATCAGTAAGAGGAGATCTTTACTGGACCTCTAGGGAGGACAGTTTAAAACTGCTAGAGCTATTCAGTATGAATGAAGTTAGTTTAGTTTAATTCGGACTTGAAAGCAGTCGATTGAGTTTACTGTATATATCAAACGTCTATATCATTCGCTAAGCATTTGTTTTAATCTAGGAGAAACAACCCAAAGAAACGAGGAAGGAACCAGTGTTCCAGAAACGCCAACTAACCAGACAACTGATGAAACTAGACCGTCAGAAATGCATATTGAACCAAGTAATATCACACCACCCAGTGACCGACCTTCAGAGATGCACTTTGAAGCAAGCAATGATACCCCAGCCAACCAAGCTAGTGATGTTCAACAGCCTGATCCCCCACCTGAACCTAGCCAAGATATTCAGCCGGGTAATTCTGAAATGCAAGTGGAGGCAAGCAGTGTGGTTGTGAGTGAGACCCCCACCCCCAGCCTTGTTCCCTGCCCACCTCAAGTAGCGGGTATCATCTCTGTAGCAGTTCCCGAGGTGGGATTGTTTGTCACTCCGAATCTTGATACACCCACCCAAGTGTGCCCAGGAGCCCCCACCCGTGCTTTGCCTGAAACCCCTGATCCATCTGACCCTAACCTTGCCCCCACCCCACGGTCACCTGATGATGATGATTACATGGACACTACTGGTGATGGTTCGTCTCCAGCAGGTAAATTTAAAACGCACCATTCTATCTTCAAGGCCAAGTGCTACCAAATCTCCAATTAAATGTACTTTAACCTGTTAGCTCTACTTATAGTGTTAATATTCTTGGAGGTCCAAGCCTTTTATCATTCCAGTGTTTCTGAACTGAACTGAACTAAATTTATTTACATACTAAACTAAACTAACTTTATTTATACTGGATAGCTCTATCAGTTCTGGACTGTTTTCCCTAGAGGTCCAATAAGGATCATCTCTTATTAATCCAGTGTTGCTACAGGAGGGAACCTAAACTATACTAACTTTATTTATACTGGACAGTTCTATCAGGTCTAAACTGTTCTTCCTAGAGGTCCAGTAAGGATCATCTCTTATTGATCCAGTGTTACTACAAGAGGGAACCTAAACTATACTAACTTTATTTATACTGGATAGCTCTATCAGTTCTAAACGATTCTTCCTAGAGGTTCAGTAAGGATCATCTCTTATTGATCCAGTGTTACTACAAGAGGGAACCTAAACTATACTAACTTTATTTATACTGGACAGTTCTATTCTAAACTGTTCGTTCTAGAGGTCCAGTAAGGATCATCTCTTATTGATCCAGTGTTACTACAGGAGGAAACCTAAACTATACTAACTTTATTTATACTGGACAGTTCTATTCTAAACTGTTCGTTCTAGAGGTCCAGTAAGGATAATTTCTTATTGATCCAGTGTTACTACAGGAGGGAACCTAAACTATATTAACTTTATTTATACTGGACAGTTCTATTCTAAACTGTTCTTTCTAGAGGTCCAGTAAGGATCATTTCTTATTGATCAAGTATTCCCACTGGAGAAAACCGAAACTATATACTAACTTTATTCACACTGGATAACTCTATCAGTTCTAAACTGTCCTGTTCCCGAAACAGGTTCGGCCAACCACTGCAGAAGGATTATTGATTTCACTGTTGTTGTGTTTCTGTAGTATTTCCAAACACCACCAACCCTAATCAGCCAACAGCAGAAAGCCAACCTGCAGATCCAACACATGCCTTCACAGAAAGCCTTTCTCTATTCACAACTGAAACACCGGAAACCAGCAGCGACACCCAGAACCCACCAGCCATGATCGATGGAGTTCAAATACCCGAGGGTGTCGATCCCTCGTTCTTGGAGGCGCTACCCGAAGCGATACGTCGTGAGGTTTTAGCAGAGCAGTTAGCTTTACGTCGTACGGCCGCTGCGTCGTCGTCTGGCCCTTCGACATCAAGTGGTGGAGAGAACACGGGCACATTGAATGTCAGTCCTGAGTTCCTGGCTGCTTTACCTCCTGAAGT